ATTATACGGCAAACAAATTCTGGCAGTTATCCTGCCATAATTTGTTTCCATTTTTAAGAGACTCTACCAGAAATTGCAATATTCTGAGTCGATCTCCACAAAAAACTACTACCTAAAAACTGAAATAAAATTATTCTGACTCCATTTCTACAAAAAAAAAAACATANTTTCTAAAAAAAAAAAAAAAAAAACGTAACTCTTTTTATTTTGCACAAAAATTTTGTTTAATAATATAACCATAGAAACCGATGATGCAAGCTCTAACTTACAGCTTACATATACTACTCACATAACATATAAATTAAAATCTAGTACTTTTAACAAGCATTTCGTAAGCATTCATGGTTGACATTTTATGAAGATGAAAAGTTTCTTTTAAACAAAGGATAAAACAATGGAATTATGAAAAATATAATAATGACAACCGAAGCTGACGTCGTCAGGAGGTACCAGAGTTTTTTTTAGCAGATGGCGGTTCGGCAGCATTGAGCCCATATAGCAAAAGTTGCTCATATCGAACCATTACGAGGAGTAAATCCAAGTAAAAATTTCCGATGATTTTCCAATTGATGGACCAATGCACTCTTGATGGTAGCCATCTATAATTCCATCATGAACCATTATATTTTTTGACGGTTACCAACATATCACCTCAATGTAGGAATTCTGTCCAATTCATGATGGTCCAACATTAGAAGAGCAACTTGATTTGATGGTTTGTTCATGTTTAACCATCACGAATTTCCATCATAGTATCTTAGAAATCAAATGTTGGCACAATCATGAACCACCATCATAACAATGTAGGAATTTGGAATGATTTATTATGGTCCAACATAAAAAAAAAGAACGAAATTGTTTTGATAGTATATTTCTGAGAATCAACAAGAATTCCCAGTAAACCATCAAGAAAAAGAATAGTTGGAATCATGATGGATTGTGGGGGTAAATATTTTTGATTGTATAGTCCTGAGAATCAAACGAATTTCCCTTATATATTCATGGAAGTGCATAGTTCGAACCATCATGGACCATCACCGATCGTTATCGGCTGTTGGTCCATGAGAATCAAACTTCTCTCGATGGTTAGCCATCAAGAGAATCAAATTTCTCTTGATGGTTAACCATCATAGTATTAAAGTAGCATTTTCCAGCATGGAATGATGGAAATTTGTTGGCATATCTAAACCATGAACGCATAATGGAAAATGTTGGATAATGGTGACCATCATGAACCGCACTGAAACCATCAAAATGTTTTGAAAAGTTAGAAAAAAAATAACTGTAAATAATCCCTGAATAAACGTGCTTTTGTAGTATATATTTTTTTGCTGTTTTATTCGTTCTATTTCTGCCTGTGCAGTGAAAGAGAGAAGAAAAAAAAAACTTACTGTTCCGTCTGGATTTCCGCCGACCTCAAAGTTGGTAAGAAACCTGAGAAAAAGTTCTTTTTCTGACATTTGACCGTTCTGGTAGAATGGATGGTAGTGGACATTGTAGACATCTTTGAGGTCGTGATAGGTCACTATTCCGTCACCTGTTCTGTCCAACTTCTTGAAGGCCTTCTCCACAATCTCAACTCTGCTCCCAGACATTTTAGGCTACAAAAACACATTCATAGATTATTCTCCAGCATTTCAAAATGAATACAGTAACAGGCCCAATTATTGGAAGCACTATAAGATTATAATTATCAGGTGATACTATGCAGCTGCATTGTTTTTACACGACTAAAACCGGTTTGTACTTGTTTACGTTCGCGTATCAATGGGTTAACATTGTATTGCAATACGTTCAAAATAAATACAAATAGGAAGTATATAAAAAATCTCCTGAATAAAAACTCATTACATGTCTGTTTAAATATAAAAGTATTGCCTATAAACTCGTGCAAAACATGTCATTATTAATAAGAAACTACAGTGCGTCTCATAATTAGATCTAATTATTATAATATACTAATATAATTCCTGATAAAATAAAAATTCTATATTTATATAATATATCGTTTCATTTGAACCAATTGTCGAATTTGTATTGCGTAACGACTCATTTAATCGAAACACGAACGTTAACAAATGCAAACCGGTTTTAGTTGCGTAAAAACGATAAATCTGTATCACCTGATAATTAAGATTTTAGACAAAGTGCTTCTAATAATTTGGTTAGGGACTGTACATATTCAGCATAAATAAAGTATAAGGTATTTTTTTTTAATAACCGTTGAACACACTATAAGTTTCTTCATTATTATAATTTCGTTTTGTTAAACATTTCCAAAATACAAAAATTACAAAACTCTTCTTTTATTGATTTGTTTCATTTTATTTTATAATCGTCGCTGAACAGCCGACCCAATTTTGGGCTGACGACTACTCATCTCCAACTTCGTAGCTTTGTCATTTAGAACCAATCCACAAGATGGATCAGTACCCCCAGAGGTGCGATTTGTTATGGGAACATGGAGGACATTGTGACTCGACAGATTTAGCGTGCACCAGCCACGGCCGGCTGGAATCGAACCCGCGAACTCATGAGCTCAGTGCCCTACCAACCAGGCTCAAATATAAGGTTTGTTATCCCTTGGTATATTTGCGTAAAATAGCACCATTTGTTTGGGGGTAGCATGCTGGCGGAGTCTTCCGATTTCGTTGAAAGTTAAATTGAAAGAAGGCTTTCAATTGATAATAAAATTGGATGAAGAGCAAAGGCGATGGGAAGCAGTAGCACAACCATCAGCTCTACACGGTCAGCCAGCCATACAAATTCAGCTGCAACGTCAGCTCCTTTTGCCACCTGTGATAGCTTTCTCAGATCAAAAAGCCAGTTTGTCCTTCTCAACTAGTTTTTCCCCCTCTGGATTGGGTTCATAATTGCAAGCCCAAGTCAAAAATTTGATGGTTTTAGTGCGATTCATGATGGTCCGACATCATTTGATGGTCACCATCATCCAACATTTCTCATGGTTCATGGTTTTTGATATGCCAACAAACTTCCATCATTCCGTGGTGGCAGAGTCGGATTATACCTTTCGTAGGCCCTAGGCACAGCCGTTTATGGGCCCTCCCCTCCTTCCCCCACTTCTCCCCTCTTTTCAAAATATATGCTAAAATTTTCTTGAATATTTTTTTTGCATTTTTATTAATATGTATTTTAATTTGAAAACGACATTTTGCGTAGTTTGGAATTCGACAGCATAATACAAGATTTCGTTGAATCCAAAAATCGCAAAAAAGTAATATCATAAGATTCAGCAAAATAATTTATTACCGAAAAATATTATATTTTTATTTGTATCTTTATAATTTTGTGCAAAATACACTTGTTGTTTTTAAAGCTAAATTATTTTTGTCAACAAATTTTTTCCTCCCAATTTTTTCGTAGGCCCTAGGCACGTGCCTAGTGTGCCTATAGGTTAATCCGGCCCTGCGTGGTGGAAAATGCTACTTTATTACTCCGAGGGTCAACCATCAAGAGAAGTTTGATTCTCATAAACCAACTATCCGTGATGGTTCCAACTAAAGATTTCCTTGGCGGTTTAATGGGGATTCTTGTTGGTTCTCAGTATTATATCAGCAAAACTATTTCGCTTTTTAATGTTTGGACCATCATGAGTCAGTCCGAAATCCTACATTTGAATGATGGATCGTTCAAACATTTGATTTCTAAGATACTATGATGAAAATTCGTGGCGGTTCAACATCAAAACAAGTTGCTATTTTGATGTTGGACCATCATAAATGAGTCCGAATTCTTACGTGGCTATTTATGATGGTTGGTTCATGATGGAATTATTGATGGTTACTTTCAAGATATGTTCGTCCATCCATAGAAAACCATCAAAAATTTAACTTGGGAGAAACTAATCAATGAATCTTCATAATCCTAATCATAAATCTAAAAATCTTATAAACATCGGCTACAAATATTTAAAAAAAAAAAGAAAAAATACAAATTAGAGGATATTACCCTGAGAGCACGTAGGAATTCCTCGTAGCTGATGAGACCGGATTCGTCGACGTCGAATCTGTGGAAGAGTTCGTCTGCTTCGTCAGCCGACATCCCGGACTCGTAAATACCTTTCCTGAACTCTTCTAGGCTCAACATCCCGTTGCCATTATCATCCATTCGTCTGAACAACCTGCAAACATAACTGTTCATCTCTATGATGAAGATTTTTCAAGAACAATTTGCAGTCAATTTGAAAGGTGACAATTTTCAATTATGCAGGCATAAAAAAAAAACTGCAAAATTTGAGAATGTATTGCCCATTAAGGACGAGGGCGATTGTTCTTGTTTTCCAGTGGCACCATCTACGGACAAGAATTCGACTTCTGCCACACCCATTTATAGGGCTAACCCATTCATCCACAGATTGTAATTTTGACCAGAACCGGAGAACGATCCATCTCCAATTCAATACCCCCAGAGGTATAATTTGTTATGGGAACATGGAAAACTTTATGACCCGACAGATTCAACGTGCGCCAGTCACCATTTGCTACACGGGGAGTCTTTGGCCGGATGGATTCGAATTCCCGTTCTCACAAACATGAGTCCAGCTCCCAGTCAAAAATTTGAGAATAATTCATTGATTTTAATTATCTTGATCTAAGAGAAAAAATTAATGATTTCCTTTTTTTTAAATTATGTTTTTTCCAAATGGGTGATTTTATTTAAAAAAAAAAAAAAGACTTACGTTGCTTGTTTCCTTCCTTTTTCCAAAATATTTAAGATGTATGTTGGATTAGATTTTAATCCTTTTGTTTTAAAAATATAAGTCTCAAGGTCAGTATGCTTTTTTACAGTTTGTCAGCACACAGTTTCCTGTACCTACCAACTTCTACTAATTGATCGGGGTATTTTTATTTGAATATTTAAAGTGGTTGTAAATTTTAGGATTGATTTCATAAATTAAATTAAAAAGAATGATTTTNTATATATATATATATATATATATATATATATGTCATGGGAAAATTCTGAGTTAAGATACTTTCCAAAAACTTTCTTTTCTTGAATTAAGATACTTTCTAAATACTTTCTTCTTCCGTATTAAAATACTTTCTAAAACCTCTCTCTTTCCGAATTAATATACTTTCTAGATACTTTCTTTTTCCGAATTCAAATACATTCTTTTTTCGAATTAAAATGATTTCTAAATACTTACTTTTTCCGAATTAAAATACTTTCTTTTTTCGAATTAAGATAATTACATAGATACCAACAAAATCCAGTAGATTTTACGAAATAATATAATAAGAATAGTATATTTAGCAAACATTGTTGCGAAACATACTAATTATTAAACGCATAGGGACTTTCATACATATATATAAAATTCCATATGCGTTATCTATCTATCTATCTATCTATCTATCTATATATATATATATATGTTTGTATAACTAGTAGTAGGAGAATTGGAAAAAAAAGGCGCGTGGTATCAGACAAATATAGAAATATAAATTTGGTAGTATGGATTACACGTGTTACCACGTAATGTTCTTTATTGAATTTATCTGACACAGCGAATATAAAATAATTAAATATTTAAACGTGCGCCATAAACTATATATATGTATATTTTGTTTAAATACAGCAATAAGTTAGAAATGATCACTGAAGTTATCTTTAATATTTGTGGTAGATTGAATCGCTTGTAGTAAAATTTAAAACAATGACTAACGCTTAACCCATCAGAAAATTCCATTTCGTTTTTCGCTCATCCCTATTTAATGAATGAATTAAATATTTGAAAAATAACTGTATTAACATCAAGTGTCACCCACAGCAAGTTTTAAAAAAAAGTGTATTTGAACTTGAGCGGATGAATACAAAAGTATTTTGATGAAAGATTGAACAAGAATATAGTGCGGGTGTGAAACTAATAGTAGAAAAAAAAAGTAGATGTTAAATTTGAAACAATTGTCGGTTCATTCTCTCATTTGGTAACAATTACATTGGCAGCGGTCCAATAGGTGTGGTCACTTTCAAAAGGTCTGTGAACCAAAGAACAAACAAGGTGAAAATGACCATTGACTCCTTATCAGCTATTTAGGGAAATTTCATCATATTTCTCTTTGTCAACTAGAAATAGAGCTGGTTTGTTCTTAAAAGGGGGGTTGTTTTTTAAATGATTATATCGGTTAATTTGATGGACAATAAATAAATTTTCCTACACTGTAAAAAATTTTGTATCTTTTCAAAAAAATTGGTGGCGCCAAAACCAAGGACGGATAGTGGTTTCAACTTAAATGTTAACAAAAACAATCTCGAGTTCTTGACCCGCTCTATTTCCGGTTAGAAAGTATACAGCTGCTTACTACAGCATATTCTGCGAGGCGATATTTTCAGATAATTTTGTTTTAAATAAAAGAAATAAATTATAAAATTTCTGAGCTCGCATCTGTGAGGTATGTCATAAGATATTAAGCAATTCTGGTGAGTTTGAAGTGAAAATTTGTTTTAGGTATTTGGGAGATGTTTTGTTAAAACATGTAACATAGTTGCTAGATTTAGAAAGAACTCTCTTTTTTGGGAGATGTGACCACTTTTTGCCCTTTTTTTTACTGTTTGTCCTCGGTGTAAACCATGTACCATCATACGTTAGTGTTATGCATATTAAATTCATTTTATAAATTATCATTTAGGTTTAAATTTCGAACCATTTCTGTATTTTATTTTACGTAGTTTCTCACTTTAGTATTACATGTGTTCACAGGAAGAAAAGAAAACTAGTGGCTAAAATCAATACAGTTTTTGATAGAATCAATCACCAAATTGATTGCTAATATAATATCATATGATAAAAATTTAAAAGGGTAGTTTTTATTGTTATCTCTAGTAGTTTTCCACAAAATTATTACTTTGCTGAATAAAGAGTAAGAATCGGTCATTCTAACGATTATTTAACTAATGTGTGAATTAACTAATATCCTCAGTGTATTTTGTGTTTAGACACTGAGCAGGATGTTTTTGTTTAGAGAACTATAGTATTCTGTACTTTATTTACTTTAGTATAGAGTCATTTATTCTAAAAAAAAAAAATTCACTGACTACAATCAATACATTTGTCGATCACCAAAAACTTTAAAAATTATAATCCTGATTATCCGAGTTTCCTCTTTAACCGAGCTATCAAAGATTTTTTTTTGTTCTAGATTAGTTTTAAAACTACCGGCAAATAAAAAATCTAAATTTTCTTTTCTAAACACTCAGGAAAATCAAATCCAAAATCAAATCCAACATCGCGTAGCTTTATTTTATGTTTGGAGGAGGTTACCGGAGCCTGATAAAGGCAGGGGTATATGGGGCAGTTGGCCCGGGCCCCGCATCAGAGGGGGGACCCAAATCGAATTGAAAGATTATTTTAGGTTTCCTTCATTAATGAACTTTTTTTAAAAAAAATATCAGTTTAGTGTAAAATCCGTCAGTTTTATGTTTGCTTCTTCATTCATCTATGAACACAATCTATGTTTCGTAAATCCATGGCTTTCTAGTGCGGAATTCAGCTAAATTTTCGCAATGACGATAGACACATTTGGCCAATCGAAAGTCTTTTTTTTTTTTTTTAACATATTGCAAAATGCGATGTGTTTACAAAAATACGGGCTTTTGATTGGCTTCATTGAGCCATCGTCATTTCGAAAATTTAGTTGAATTCCTCCCTAATATCAGCAAGGATATGAATTTTCCGCAGCTAAATGATAATTAGAAAACTGCATTCTGTATGATGGAAAAGATTGTCAGGATTGTCAGAAAATCAATGAAATGGACAGAATGATATTTCATCAGATCATTGGAGGGGACTTTATAGCTTATTTTAGGTTCAGACAATTTTCTTGTTATTTACAATGAGGTGAAAAATTTAAATACCTCCATAAAGTTCGGTTCTTCATTACTGAAGCAGAGGTGGGTCCCGTACTAGCCTTTTCGTTATCCCTAAAAACATTGCGACAGAAAAGCGCCACAGTAATGAAAAACGATGATTGTTGTTGTTAATTTACGTCGCACTAGAGCTGCACAATGGGCTATTGGCGACGGTCTGGGAAACATCCCGGAGGATGATCCGAAGACGTGCCATCACAATTTTGATCTTCCGCGGAGGGGTTGGCACCCCTGCTTCGATAGCCTGACAACCTGCGCGCGAAATCGAGAACTTTACGGTAGCACAGTTTAACGAGGACCCATACCGCACACCCTCGGTCCCTACGCAGACTGATCCAAGTGGTCACCCAACCGCACACTGACCGTAGCCAGTGATGCTTGACTTCAGTGATCTGCTGGGAACCGTGTCTTAACGATCAGTCCACTGCAGGACTGAAAAACGATGAAGGTCTTTTTTAAGTAAAAACTTTTAAAGTAAGATTTTTAACTATAATATGAATTCTATGCGGTATAAATTTTCTATTACAGTTAAATATATTACATCTATACCTCTTCTTTTCTTTTTTTTATACTCTTCGCTTTAAACGAATTTTTCGATTTATCCGAGTGAGTCATGGTTTACACTGATTTTGATAATAGGGACTGTATTGTATTTAAAAACAAAAAAGGTTTTGAAATATTATGAAAAGGAACATTTATTTTAAGAATGAAGTCAATAAATCCTATTAGTTGATAGAATGAGACACGCAATTAACTGCTTTAGGGAGCATATAGCTAATACACAAGTGCATATATATAGCATACATAGGAGCAGAGATGGACATTTGTTATTCAGAATAATGAATAAAGAATAATTATTCAAAATCTGAATAAAGATTTATTCATTAGTCAGAAATATTTTGAATAAAGAATAAATCATTCATTATTCTTTATTCTGTATCCTTTATTCATTAGTCAAGAATAACTGAATAATTTCACTGATCAACAAAAATGGGCACGGAATACTCTAATTGACTACGATTATGACAACTACGTACAAAACGTTAATCCTTTTCAAGTATATTTATATAATGTTTGAGGAAATTAACTTTTGTCTAACATAATGCATACTTTTGAGAAATGGTTACATGGCAAAAAAGCGTTTAATTTTTTAAGTTAAAATTTTATTTAAGAATTTAAAATAAGATTATCGTTTGTTTTCAAAAATTATAAGAAATTGTGTTTTATAGATTTTAGAACAAAATTTTAAAATGAACTTAAGTAACTAAACTGTTATAAACCTACTTTTTAGCACAACTAAGTATGTTACGCTGGAGTAATTTAAAATAAAATAAATATTCATACTTGTCTTAGTTTTATAGTTAAATTCCTAAAATAAGACGTTTAAGAGCAAACGATGTTTTGCATCTCGTTATAGACAAAGACATATTGATTGCATTTTTCGCTGGTTATTCAAAATTTTATTCAGAAAAATTAGTCATGACTAATGAGTTTATTCATCAATCATTATTCAAACATTTTTATACATTTGCATAATGAATGATGAATAATGACTAAATTTTCATATGAATAATCATTCAGAATAAATTTATTCTGAATAAATTTAGTCATGAATAAAATTTTCGTGAATGATGCCCATCACTGCATAGGAGCAATCTCTGGCCTAATTAATAGACGTACTCTAAGATTCTATGTAAAATCTTAATTATCAGGTGATACTCTATACAGCTTTATTATTTTTATGTGACTGTTTGCACTTGTTTACGTTAGCGTATCAATGGGTAAAATTAAACAATATACATTATAAATTTGACGATTGGATAAATGAGACTATATGTTATATAAATACAGAGTATTTATTACATCAGGTATTATATTATAAATATTAGATCAAATTATTAGACACTGTAGTTTTTTAATTATTGCACAAGTTTATATGCAATACTTTTAAACATACATGTAATGTGTTTTTATTCTTTATATACTTCCTATTTGTATTTACTTTTAACGTATTGTCTTACAATGTTAAATAATTGATACACGAACGTAAACAAGTGTAAATCGGTTTCAGTAGCGTAAAAACAATAAAGATAAATAGTACCACCTGATAATTAAGATTTTACATAGAATCTCATACTGCGTCTAATTATTACAATATAATACCTTACGCAATAAATATTCTATTTTTACATAATATATCGTCTTATTTATCTAATCGTCCACTTTATATTACTAATTAGTCTAATTTAAGTAATTGTTACACGAGCGCAAACAAGTGCTAAACCGCTTAAAAACAATACAGCTGTATATAGTATCGCCTGATAATTAAGATTTTACATAGAATCTTATAGTGTGTCTAATAATTGTAGTCTGCTTATTACAATACACTAATATGATACCTGATGTAATAAACATTCTATATTTCTATAACATATCGTCTAATTTATATTATCTATGGTCTCATTTAACCCATTGATACACTAATGTAAACAAGTGCAAACAGTCGGTGTAAAAACAATAAAGCTGTATAGAGTATCACCTGATAATTAAGATTTTACATAGAATCTCAGAGTGCATCTATTAATTTAGTCTGCTTATTATAATATACTAACATGATACCTGATGTAATAAACATTCTATAATATATCGTCTAATTCATATCGTTCAATTTAACCAATTGAATACACTATCGTAGACAAGTGCAAACAGTCACATAAAAACAATAAATCTGTATAGTATCACCTGATAATTAAGATTTTACATAGAATCTTATAGTGCTTTATAGCAATATATAGTAGCCAATATAAGAGAGATACCTGGATATAGCAAGTATACCGGTTGATCCCCTTTGCAGGCAGAGGAGTCGAAGTTTTTCTAGAGAATCAGTAGCATTGTAGAGCCTTCGTGAGGCGCTCATCCGCATGACGTGTTCGTTCCTCGTCTGGGCAGACATAGGACGATACATCTTTATCCATTCATTGCAGCCTCCACACTAAAACAACACCGTTTGTACTACTAGGTGGTTTCTATGGAAACTAAACACACGCGCCCTCATTTTACCGCAACTGATAAACTTGCGCTACAATCTAAACAACAGTACTTTTTCAGGAAATAAAAAAATTAAGTAGATTTTAAGAAATATAAATTTCAGGATAATTGTTGCACAATGTACTAAATATTTTACACATAGGGAATTTTAAGGATTTTTTTTTAAGTCATGAAAATAGAAAAACTGCAATATTTTCCAGTCACGATGGACTTTAAACATACTTGAAATATTATCCAATGTTCACTCATCATTTCAAAAATTAAACCGGCATTTAAATCGTTTAAAATTTTTTAAATTAATTTAAAAAGAGAGTTCTGAATAAAAAGAAACTGAACATTTCAAAACAAAAAAAGTTTTGGATTGATTTTCATAAATGAGGTTCTCTTCATTATGTATAATATACTTATTTTAATATTGAAGCAAGCAGGCAATTATCTGTACAATAATTTGCATGTACAAAAATTCTATTTCAATAGGGATTTTTTTCAGAATCTTACTTAATGTTAGGGGATTTTCAAAAATGTACAAAAACCGTGAGAATTTTAATTAAACCAGTAGACCAGGAGAAATCCAGTGGTCTACTGGAAAATCCTGTAGAGTTAGCAGCTATGATTTTTTTTAAACCATTGTGAAGCTAGATTTGTAGGCAAAACAGGAAAGTATTTAAAACTGCGTAGACTAAAATAGTGAAAAAATTTAAAAACCTTACAATTTAAATTTTTTTTTTTAGTTCATTATCAAAATAACGGGAAGAAAATTTATGTATGAAATTATCTCTGTTTTATAATAATGTGTGCAAAAAGGCTTTGATTGCTTCCTTAGGATTCATAGGGTGAAAAAAGTTAAACTAACATTATATAAATAAATTTTAATGATAAACACACTAAAAGAAGTTGTTTAAATAAATTCCACATTTAATTTACTTTATGTTTTATAAAATGCTTGTGAGCAAAGATGATTAAAAATATTACGAAATGACTCTAGAATATTAATTTTTTAATTTCAATAAATAAATTATTAAAAATAATCACACTGAAAACAAAAAGCCGTCTTCAGAAGCTCCGAATACTTCATGTTTTGTAAAATCAATATATTTTGTAAATAATAAAGATTTTTATAGTTAAACTAAAATTCTGTGAAAAAAGTTCCTTATTTCATGATATTGCTTAAAAATGTTTTGAAAATCCCTCTAGAACATGAGGAAATGACGTCATGAAAGAATGTCAAGTATCATGGATTAGCGTTGATATTCAAACATCTGACTGTAAAGAGAAGAGTAACTTATAGTGATAAACACCTGTCATTTTGGAAAAAATGCAACATCTTGAGCCGTGATGACTCAGGGGATAGAGCGTTCACCTTTCTATGAGGTGAACCTGGCTCGAATCCCAGAGATGGCTGGTCGATATGAATTCACAGACCACAATGCTGACGTAAAATATCCTCAGTGGTAGACGGATCATGGGCTAGAGCCTCTTTGCCGTCAGGCTAACCGTGGGAGGTTTTCCTCTCCATGTAACGCAAATGCAAGTTAGTTCCATCAAAAGTTCTCCCAATACTTGATCCAGGAGTTTCCTTGACTTCTGGGTTGGGTTCAAAATGACAAGTCAACGGAGTTGAAAATAAGTACTCGTAAGCCCAAAAAATTGGGTTGGTTGTTTAACGGCGGTTATAAAACTCTCCCAACTTGTTATTTTGAGGGAACCTGAATCCGTCGTACCCGCAGAGAGTACGTTCGATGTCATAACTAAAAATATCTTGCGCACTAAGTAATATATTCGATCTTAATGGCCCGCGAACCATTGAGATTGTGTGTTAGAACGAAAAAATCTGATTATTAGATCAAAAACTATTCATGGTGGTAATGTACACTGGCTCGTCATTAGAGACCAGCCAATTTTTCAGAACTCAAGGAAGGTAGGCAGTCATACTTTGTTTACGTCGCACTGGATCTACACAATGGGCTACTGGCGACGGTCAGGGAAACATTCCTGAGGATGATCCGAAGACATGCCATCGTCATTTTGATCCTCTGCAGAGGGGGTGACTCCCCCTCTAGTAGGTAGTCCGATGCGAAGTCGAGCACTTTACGGTAGAACAATTTAACGAGGACCGATACCGCGCACCCTCGGTCCCTATACGCAGGCTGATCGAAGTGCTCACCGACCCTAGCCAGTGATGCTTGATTTTGGTGTTCTACTGGGAAGCGTGTCCAACTGCGATGTTCAGAAAACACACAAAAATCAGTATCAAAACCAGGATATTTTAAGCAGAAAATCATGACGAATTCTACCCAGAAAGCATGTAACCCGACGGCAATATTTTCTTTTTATAGAAAGCAAAAATGTTGCAGTTTCAAACCTTTCATCCTAAAAAAGATTAAAAATTATCTTAGCTGACGTCCCACTGCATTGTCCATTAAAATTTCATGACAAGGTGGACTTTAGCTGAACATGCAAGACTTTGCGAATAGAAACCTTATAATTAACTAGATATAAGATTATTTTCACCTTGGGACAAGCTTTATTCAAGGAATTTTTCACGCTTGAAAACCCTAAGTAAGGGGTGACGAACCTTTATACACCAACGTGCCATTTTTTCTAAAAAATTGTTTAATGAGGTCATAGACGTGCCGTCAAATAATTTTGACTTCGTGATTATTGGGAAAATAATAATACTAAATACTATCAACTCAAAACTCTTTATTCACATTGAAAAAAAAAAATTTTTCCTTGTCTTAAAACAACTTAAAGTAACATCAGTGTGACTTCTGTTTAGATAGATTAGATGATAGATTAGATGAGAAATAACTTAGATTAGGTTGTAAGATGACAGTTTAAGCAGGACTGTTAATTTTTTTTTGCTAGTTATCAATTGTTTGCTTGCTTTTTATGGTTATTAATTGTTTATCATTTTGTTTGTTTTTGTGAATTTTAATTTAATTGTTACATATGCTTCATAGTGTAATAACATTTGTGTAATAACAATTCATACTGTAATAACAATTGTGATCGGTGGCGTGCCCAAAATATTGAGTCTCGTGCCGTAAATGGCACGCGTGCCATTGGTTCGCCATCCCTG